AGGGGCCCCAGGAGGTGCTGTGAGCCGAGTCTGGGACCGCAGGAAGGCCCCTGGGCAGCCCACCCAGCTGCCGAGCTGCCAGTTTGAGAAAACTGTGATACGTTGTGATGTGCTGTGCACACACGTACCCCTGTCTGTGTGTGATGTGTAAACATGCATATATTCACACGCATACATGTCCACGTGTACCGACGCAGACACCGTTCATGTACCTGTGTGTCCGCGCGAGCATGTGCACACATACACATGGGCATAGTGGGTGTGCGCACTTGTACCCATATAAACGTGCACCTGTGCCCAGCTGTGCACACATACGTGCGGCAGCGTGCCTGTGCCACATAATTCCAAGTGACAGTGAGGAGCATCCTGTCGAATCGTTACCCACCCCCTCGCAACTGTGGAATAGGCGAATGCAGACCCGTCAGAGCTGCGTCTGGTGGGCACCTTCGGAAAGTGGCCGAGCACCCTGAGTGGGTGCAGGGCGCGGCGTGCTATGAAGGATGTCTTGGCTGGTGGGGCAGGTGCTCGCCGTGGCAGGCGGTCTCTCCCCAGAAGCCCGCGCAGGCCTGGCATTGATCTGCATCAGATTTTCTCATCACCGTGTCTCACGACTTTAGAACAGCAGCGAGTGTGTGCCCTGTGTGTGTTTAGACCGCTCTAGGGACGCTCCCTAAGCACAGGACGATCGAGCAGCACTTTGAAAAACGACCCTATGGAACCTTTTCAAATGCAGGGTCTGGAGTCGGGCCCAGGCAAACCAGCCCAGCCTGCCTGGCACGCCCGGCCGTGGGCACAGAGGCTGAGCTGCCTGTCATCGTCTGTGGAGCCGGGCTGGCTGCAGTCTTCAGTGCTCTGTGTGGCCACTACAGCCCCAAGAGCAGCTCTGCCCAGGTCCCCAAAGAGCTGACCCTCGAGGTCCCCAAAGAGCAGACCCACTAGGTCCCCGCACACCCAGCCTTGTCATCTTGAGCCACAAGGCAGCCCTGTTGGCTTGACTCGTCACACTCCCTCAGGAACCAGGTTCTAGGGACAATTCACATCTCGCACCACTCCTTTCTGACAGGACGGGCGTGACCCATGGGACCTCAGGTCTGTAGCTGCTGCAAACTCCTAAATGCAGGAGCCCAACAGATCCGGATGGCCGGGACCCCGGGGGACCAGGCCCCAGGACCTCGCTGGGCGTGGCTCGTCCAGTCAGGCTTTCCATCAGTGTGGCTTCCAGCTGCGGCATTTGGGGCCAAGAGGAGACTGTTGGTTTGGTTTGGCTTAGTTTGGTTTGGCTAGTTTGATTTGGTTTGGTTGGTTTGATTTGGCTTGGTTGGTTGGTTTGGTTGTTTGGTTTGGTTTGGCAATTTGGTTGGTTTGGTTTGGTTGGTTGGTTTAGTTGGTTGGTTTGGTTTGGTTGGTTGGTTTAGTTGGTTGGTTTAGTTTGGTTGGTTGGTTGGTTTGGTTGGTTTGGTTGTTTGATTCGGTTTGGTTGGTTGGTTTGGTCTGGTTGGTTTGGTTTGGTTGGTTGGTTTGGTTTGGTTGGTACGTTGGTTTGGTTTGGTTGGTTGGTTTGGTTGTTTGGTTGGTTTGGTTGGTTGGTTTGGTTGTTTGGCTGGTTGGTTTGGTTGTTTGATTTGGTTTGGTTGGTTGGTTTGGTCTGGTTGGTTCGTTTGGTTTGGTTGGTACGTTGGTTTGGTTTGGTTGGTTGGTTTGGTTGTTTGGTTGGTTGGTTTGGTTGTTTGGTTGGTTGGTTGGTTCAGTTTGGTTGGGTAAGCAGGCAGTGACTAGTGTGTTGACTGTAGCTCAGGGCAGCCTTTAAAAAGAGTGGGAAGGGGTCTGTGCAGGGCAGCACGGACACCTGGAGCTTTTTGGGGGAAAGGGCTTTGTCCCAGGCCACGTGGACCCCGGGAGACATGTAGTGGGAGGTGCCAGATCTGTGTGACGCCGAAGCCACAGCCCAGCGGCCGCCCTCCCGGCTCGCACACTGCTCTGTGCTGTGCAGATTGTTTCCTCTCGTCTTCGACGGGTGAAGAGGACGCATCACTTTAATCTACATTATTTCATTACCCAAATATACGAACTTTGTAGAAGTTTATAGGCCACCTGTGTTTATCCGCTGTGAATTACACACTCACGGCCTGCTCTTGCTAGGAAAACACACTCGGTTTCCTCATCGCTCTGTGGGAGCTCTTTACTTACCGACTGTTACCCCTTTGTCTGGTTTGCTGTGAACCGTGTTCTCCACTCCGTCGGTTGCTTTTCGGGTACGTTTCGTGTCCGGGGATAAGCGTACGTGTGCACACTGGGCAGCGCTGCCGCCAAGAAGGCCAGGTGCCCCGGCAGGCAGGTCAACTCCCAGCCCGCAGAAGCCGGTCACTGCAGCGGGCACTGCAGGAGAATGACGTGACAAAGCCCTGTCCTACAAAACAAAGATAGCGCTGGTCTCTCCTTCATGATCTCCCTCGATTCGGCCTCAGAGGCCCTTACCCACGCTGCTGGTCGCATGGCCCCGACTTCTCCCCCCTCTGCAGCCCTTTCCCCTTCGGCCAAACCGCCTCACTATGTAGGGGGACGTCTTCCGAGTCCCTCTCCCAGAACCCCTGCCCCGGGCTGTCCAGGCTCCCCCTGCCAGTCAAGTCCTTCTCCTTTGTGCAAAACCTAACCGACTTCTCTGGCCCTCTCTCCCCCGAATCCCGCTGCAGAAGGGAGAGAAGAACGTGGCACTGGGCCCCTCACAGCCTCCCGACGACACACTGCTGCCGTGGCCCCGGCCGCACGACTCCCACGGGCTGAAGCGGCAGAAGCGGGACTGGGTCATCCCGCCCATCAACGTGCCCGAGAACTCGCGTGGACCCTTCCCACAGCAGCTGGTGAGGGTAAGTGACCCCCGTGCAACAGGAGGGCTCCGCCAGCACCCCATGCTCCTCCTGGGGGTACCACACAGCAGGGAGGGCAGGGTGGCGCCTATCCGAACAGTCACGAGCAATCGTGCCTGCCAGTCAGGCAAGCCATGAAGCAAGGGTGATTCTCCCCGGTGTTTTCCTAAGAGGCAGCTGGGAGGAGGGCTGGGGTCATGGCCTTCGGCCTCTGACCCCTCCTTGGGTCTGGTTGCTCTCACTCCTTTCCTTCTGTCTTGGATCCTGAACGGGGAAGGTGTGGGTCCGCTGTGGGGTCTCGAGGTTGTGGCTGGGCAGCCCTGGCGGCACTGGGCCTGTCTAATGTGCATGTCCTCGCGGGGTCCCCACAGCCACCGCAGCTGCTGGTCCTACAGAAAGGGCCCGACTTCCCGCTCCCC